TTTTTTAGAATCAATGATGTTCGTGCACGACAAGTTAAACCAATTCTCACACAAGTCACACGCTATCCACATTCCACTGTCTGCCGAGTACAGAAGCCCGCACTTTGGGCATGTGGCATCTGTCTCATCGGACGACAAATTCATTCCTGAAACCTCTTCCTGAATCTGTGTAACCTTCATTCCACTTCCTTCCTTCTCTCGAACTTGGCATCCCTCCTGCCGTCTCTCTCTCTTGTCTTGACTACCCTTCCTCCTACTTTCTCTCGTCTGTCGGACTTGCTGTCTGTTTTTCTGTCTCTCCGCTTGCTTTTGCTGCCTATCTCTTCGCTTCAACTCTTTCGCCTCCATAGCTTGCTTCTTTTCGTCCAACTTCTTTTTTTCTTTTGTCTAACTCAGTTATACAGGCAGCTGTTTTTCTGCGAGATTGCCTTGTTGTGGTTGGCTTCGGCTCAGGGAGCACAAGGATTTCAGAGAGCGCATCTTTAGATGATTTCTTGCCAGATGAGATGGAAGAGGAAGGGCTTGGGCTAATTTTATGATCTGGATGATAGATTTTTAGCCAAGCAACATAGCTAGGGTCATCAAGTAGGTCATACTTCTCCTCGTAGCGTTTCTCGTACAATGCCACTCGCTCTGATGAGAAAAGAGGACTGCCAGGAGGTGAATCTGATGTGGTACTGCATGACTGTGGTTGTGGACAGACAGCCTTTGAAGGTGCAAGCTGACGATCACTAACTTCTCCCGGATTGAGTGGGTATACGCCGGTTTTTTTTAATCCACTCATAATGTTGACGCTAGTGAATGAGTGAGGCCAGGCCTCAGCGACAAGATAGGCCAATTTGTCTGCCGTTACTCTACCAGGATGCTGCGACATGTACTTGCTGCACGCTTTAGAGAAGTGACTTTTAAATGATTAAAAACACCGACATCTAGCGGTTGCAGCACGTGAGTAGTGTGCGCCGGTAAGCACAGAAAGTGCACATTGTTAGCACGAGCCAGCTCGATTACCTCAATGGATGTGTGAGAGGCATGTTCATCCTTTAGCAGCAGGACAGGTCTGGTAGGAGGAATATGCTGGAGAAAAAAACGAAACCATTCTAAATACAGCTCGGAATTGATCCACCCGCTCTCACTAGTGGCGAAGTATGTATCGGGAATAGCTCCCTCTTTGAGGTTCTCAGTGACACACCTTTTCCTAGGGTAAACCATCATCGGTGGGAGGACATACCGAGAAGCTGACACACATGCAAGAACGGTGTGTGTTTTCCCCCTTTCAGCCGACATACACATTCCGCCTCCCCATCTCAGTGACGACTTTCCCCGGCTTATGTACAATACTTATACCAGTCTCGTCGCAATTGTATATAAGCATAGGCTTTGTAATGAGATTTAGGCGACCATAAAGAGATCCGAGCTTGCCAAACAAATCATCAACTGTTGCTTGGTTGGAGAAAATGGCTCAACAGTAAGACAGTGGCTGTGGAGCTCGTAGAGATAACTGTGGGTGGCGCCGTCGAAACCCCTCGAACCATGCACGACCAGCTTTTCCGCCGTGAAAGGGATTTTTTCGCTCACCCTTCTGAACGATTGTAAATGCAAGTTCCATGACGGTGTCCCTTGTCAATCCACACCCCATATCCGCCATTTCCACCAGATACTTCACAAGCATGTCCTCCTCCTCATCCGTAAGGACAGTTGCTGGCCCTGTCTGGCTCCCACCTCTACACTACCGTTAACATGCCTCATAAGCGTCTCAACGGGAATGTTGTAAAGCCTTGCTGCTTCCCTCAAACCTCTATTCTCGTGTAGAATACTGTCCACCGCCGCCTGCATGCTTTCATCTGACCACAACATGCACTTTGCTGCCATAATCGTGCCAAAAGTGCCATGATGACCCGTACAACTTTTACATTTTAAAGGGAAAAGCACACCAGTGCAGAGAGAAACTCCACGGACGTCGAAAAGCACGTTTTTGCTCAACATTGCGCAAGCGCAGCGAAAGCAATTCGGGTCAAAGGTCACTGTACGCGTCTTTGTGTGTGCAGGGTAGCTTTACGGTCAAGCGCCGAATCTAGTAGGGTTGAAGTAGCATATAAAAACCTTGGTTTGTTATAGTGTCTCAGATACCTGGCAGACCCAGTACTATGGGTTTTAGACACTTGATTACTACACTCAACATCAAAGGGAATTATTCATGAGAGGTTCTACTATTGCCATATTTATTACTCCTCCCCTGAGCTGGTACATGATATACCATGCTGTGCATATGTGGCGTAATTTTTTTCCCTTGTACCCTTGTAGTTATTTCTTTAAAAACAAAGTCGTTTTCCTTTCCCGTCGAGAGATAGTTAGTTGCGCTATTGTAAGGTTTCAGTGGTGTGTAATGTTTACACAACTTTTTGAGCCGTAAGCAAGACTTTTCCTTATCTGGCTTACATAGGGTATGACATAGGGTCAGTAAATTGGTGAATTTGGGAGGAGCTGCTAAGGCACATTGAGCCAGCCGCAGAGGCAAGTAGCTGCTAGGCAAAGGCACATGTATAGACATTTAACAGACATTATGCAAGTTGTATTACGGCAATATTCTGGAAAACAAATTGTGCTTCTGGTTAACTTGCACATTGCTTTGCTGGTTTTCTTGCACATGCCAGTATTCGCTTGATTTCTTTAAGTCAACTTATTTATCAACAGTTTTCTCTTACATTATGTGACTGTCAGTCGATTCCTTTGCAGGGTATAAGTTGTGTATAGTCACTGTGAACTCTCCAGCAACTCTTCCTCCTCTTCCTCTTCGAATCTCTTTATCCCGGCATGACCTCCTGTTAACCGTGTGCACCGCGGCTTGGTTGTCGCACCACCACCGTATTCGACAGCCATGCCAGCTTCTTCCCCAAACAGCGCACCACACCAGGCCGGCGTAGAGTTCCTTGAAGCAAATGTGGTGACCCCGAGCAGATACCGACCACTCCAGCTGAAACCACCCTGACCATGCTCCACAACCCCAGCTCCCCGAAGCATCTAAATTTACCCTGACAAAAGGTTCGCGTGGGCATGGGAATATTGCTACACCATTCCATTGCTCAGCCAACGTAACCCACCATTGGAGGTCTGCCCGGAACTCGCAGTTAAGCGTAATATGATGGTGCCTCTTCGTGGCACTCGGAATCCGTAGTAAGTCGGTAATTTGACGGAGGAATGCCCTTCCTGGCCTCACCACATGGCGAGCATGCTGCAGGGTGACTCCAGATGACGACGTTGGCATGACCGGTGAGTAGCTCACTGAGTCAACAGGGCTTTGAGCCAAGACAGTTTCTACGCCGGGAGGCACAGCTGACTGCTGGCAGTATCTATCTCGATCCCAAGGAAGGTCATGCACTGGGATGGGCACTCTAACTTCTCCATTGCGAGGGGAACACCCAAGTCTCTGCAGACGGCTAGGATCCGGTCCAAGTTTACCCCGCATGAGTCCGTGTCCGGAGGGCCCATCGTGACAAAGTCATCAAGGTAGTGATCAACCATTGTCACCCCCTCTGGAGCATTATCCACAGCAACGCATCTGCAACTGCCGTGAAAATCTTTGGGGCCGACCTGAGGCCGAATGGCAGGGCTCCATCTACGTAGCATGCCCCGTTCCACTCTATTGCCAGTAGATCACGGTCCCAAGGGTGGACCTTGAAGTCCAGCTTGGCCAACAATGATCCCTTGCCCAGTTGCTGGGCGGCACTTGTGACCCACTCCACTGAGATGTACTTCAGGGAACACAGCTCACTCTTAATCCCATCGTTGACACTGTTACCCTTGGGGTAGGATAGCCTCCATCTGGAGGACCTTTCAGGACCACCCCCATTCGATTGATCTGCAATCCCTCAATGTGGCCCGGAGGGAACGGTCCCAACGTCCTACCCTCCCTAGTTTCAGTGCTGGTGTAGCTATCAACCACAGAGGGATGAGTGCAGCGGAGTGCATGTTGCGGCTTGCTGGGGACAATGGGCTTCCATGGGCGAAGCCCACCCGATAACCATGCTCAATTCCCATTCAGCATGTATGTGGCAAATTCCCTATCTGGGTGTCCTGCCAAGGCCTGGTGTAGGTGGCTGGTCGAGGGGGGTGAGATTCCTAACAGCTCTGGCTGTGCCACCCTTCTTCCCAGAGTGTGTGTTCCCTCCAGTGCAGAGAGGTCCAGAGTATAGCGGTAAAACCCTACAAGGAACGCAGAGCATAGTTATGATACGCTTCCGTGGAATGATTAGGCCAGGTGGTGGGCGGGGACTGTGTCCTCTTACGTTTCGAGTTATCCCCACCGCATTCGGGGCTCTGGTGAGGCGTGAGTGTCCGCGGGGCAGCAGCACAGCTTTCGAAGGTCCTGCTCGCTTTGGTTAGCGAAGAAATGTCGGGGCCTTATCCAGGTAGGTGGAGGAGAGAATGGCCGCCAGTGTGGCATTGCATTCCGTCCACACGTTAATGTCAGTGACCAGGCTCCGGTGTGGCCACCCCCTCCACTGTCTCCACCTGCCAGGTCTCGCGAAGCAGTTCCCAAATATTGATGTACTCTCTGGCCACGATCCTCTTGGAGACATCATAGTGTCTTTAGCCCTAAATTTCCTCCCTTGTAGACATTGCTTTATAGTTTCTTCCACTTGTACTGCTCTGCAATCATTCATTTCAATCTACAGCTAATTTGCACATTTCAGGTGAGCGAAGTGACCTTGAAACACTGGTGTATGGTGTTTGCGTATGCACATTATTAGCGCCGAGTCTGTCGGTTGTAAACCACGCAATTCTGAATACTTGGTATTGCTTCACCCGCCAATGAATGTATTTTGACTAAGAATCTCAACCTAACATCCACTAGGCCATGCAGCTACCCTTTTGAGTTATGAACACTCTTTGTGCATGCGTGCCAAGGGTTTAATGTCACCCGATCCTAATGTGTGTGAAGCTACACTCTTAAGCAGTCGTCATATTTTGCTAGTTGCATTATGTATTTGTTTAATATGCAGTGGTCCACTATATATGCTGATGACCACTAATGTTGGAGGAGAGAGAAGATTTGCTGCAGCAGTAGCAAAAAGACTACAGACTCTTGGTATGTGTGAACAAACTCTCTGCATGCATGTGCAGCGAGGGTACTTGGGTCATAAGTGTTTATGTTCTTCTCTCTGTGTGTTACCACTGTTTCTGCCACCACCGTGCAACAAGCTGGCCAAAGAAAATACCAAAGTGTTCAGCACTGCATTTTTACTGCATTCAAAAGATGGCATGAAAACCAAGTGAAGAAGCCAATATGCAGAGGAAAACCTACAATTCCAAGCCCCTAGCATGCTATTACTGAAGCTATACTTTTAGTGTGTAGCAAATAGCTTGTGCAGGGGAAATATCATGCATGGAATTTGATATTCTTAACTAGGCAGCGTTTCCAGCAAGAATCGATCTCCCACAGCAGTATTGTGCTCGGTGTATCAAGGACGGCTGGTTAGGTTTATGATATGTCGCATTGCCTAGTCGCAGAAAGGAGAAGAGAACCGGCTTCTGTTAGGATTCATCCTATATAGGCATTAGTTAGCACTGAGCTGTAGCTTTACCTCTAAAAAGAGATGTTATTTTTTGTTTTTATAGTATAGCTATACCATCAATAGTCGGCCATTGTGTCTCTTGTCTGGGTGGGTCACTCAGAGTTTAGTGTCCAAGTCGATATTCTAGTCCTAACAGTGAACAGTTAAATAATTTGTAGCAGAAGTGTGCCTTGTCCATCTCAATGAAGCAAGTTTGCTTTAGATGTCACTTGCCGCTTTGCTGCGCCGTTTGCGGGATAGAATGTCTACAGCACGACACGACGTGGCACTACTTGGCCCACTACACGGAACTCACAGCTGCAACCACATTCTGATACTGATGTTTATGCAAGCTCATGCACAAGTGTACGAAAACATTATACACTAGTATTCTTATTTGCGTGTGTCATACCGTAAATATGAGATTAAAAGTGCGGACAGACTTAAAACCAAGTACCGTAACCATCTCTGCACATGCATGGCGAGGGTTAAATTACCACTGGCCTACCTCAACTGCTTTTTTGCCTGCTTGAGGACTGTGTAAAAATTAGTATGTTGGGTTTCACAGCTGTGGTTTATTAATTGTGTCCCTGAGATGCATTTACAGTCTGTTTGCTTTTGATACAAGTGCATTGTGTATTTTGTTTATTCAGGTGCTCTTACCAAGGGTGACAGGAGGGCAGCTACTGGAGCAGAATTTTCAGAGTTCAATTTCGACACTGCTTATGGACGCTCAGCACTGAGACAGATGTACAACTCCTTGAGAACCGTTAGTCTTGCTTCTTTTTATGCTGAGTTTTGTGCCTTTTCTGTGGAAACCTGTGTGAGGGTATTTTTAATTAACCCTCGTCGCGCATGCGCAACGAGGGTTACTGTCCTTGGTTCGTAAGTATGTCTCTGTCCGTCCGTCTGTTACGACATTTTCTGTCACCACATGCAAGAAATCGGCTAAATAGCAATAGTAACGGGTTCAGTTGTACACTTGCTTGATTTTTAAAAAGGCGATTTTTATGCAAATTCTGCATTCTGAAGTTATATAGTGAAAACCAAGTGAACAAGCCAATATGCTAATTAGCACAGGCTTATATACCTCCACTTGCTCTGTGTATCTTGAGGGCACAAGAAGTCACAACGAAGGGTGTGTATCGACTCCTGCATGCTTTCTAATAGTGTAGCTAGCCCATGTACAGACTCTCCGCAAGCTTTTAGCGGGAGACCACGAGTGAATGCATATTAATAGCCCAGCCCATCAATTTGCAGTACCGCGCATGCGCAGTTCGCCGAGGGTTTGCACTTTAGTGCTTTTCATTACAGATGCAAATGGTGGGTGGAGTAAACCTGCAAAAAGTCTGTTCACTATCAGGATGTGATCCATCCATTACTCCAGAGCAGTTCTTCTCATCTCTTCAGGTACGTAGGTGTGTTGTTTGAGCTTGGCGAGTATGTCACCCATACACTGTTGTGTGTACAGCTGGTGGGCCTTGCGGGTCCGCATGTCTATTTCCCTGTGCATGTGACAACAGGGTATCAAGGCAAAGGCTTTTTCTGCAGCATATATTTTTACTATGTGTGCAGCCCTCCACTATTCTGCTCAATTCTTGCTCACGGTGATATATGACTAGGGTAACACGCAATTGACCAATCAGATTCCGAGTTTAGAAGTAACTATTTTTGTTAGTTACCTCTTCCGCTGGTAACTATTTCGCAGCCCTGCGCACTTTTCTTACGCGTATTGGCCATGGCAACCACGCCTTCAAATCGAGAGATACCATGCGAGCGTAAGGCAAACAGAGCTTCTGGAGAGGTTCTTTCTCACGAAAACCCAGGTAGTCGGTCTTCTAGTAGGAAGCAGTCCATGACTACAGGGCCCTAGCTACAGCTCGAGCCCAGACGCGCATGCTAGCGGTGCGAGAAGGCCCCGCCTACTTTCGCGTTAGCGAGCCGCGTCGCCTAGAACAAGCACTCTCTACTGTCTTGCTGGTATAGTCGTTGTTGTACGCCTGCTCGAACTGGCTGCTGACAGCTGCAAATAGCCTGTCTACTTCCAGTTCGTCCCCAGCAAACAGCTCCGACCCCAGTAAGCCGTACATCCTCTATGCAGCGTGCATTGTTGTGCGTTACTAGCGCTGTAGTCTAAGATGGTTAGATGCGTTTCCTTGGGCACTACGCGATTTAGTGGTAAAGTATTTTTCGTACACCAGTTTATCTCTTGTAATGTCAGGTGTTGCTATTTTCATGTTTACAGAAGTTTGTGTACTTTTGCGAGTGCCTGTTTGTCGTCATCTCCACAGCGCCCTCGCTGCGCTCAGGACGCCGACAGCCCAGGGCCCTCGGCTCAATAAATCGCGTAGTTCCCGCGGCTCCGCATCTAACCTATACGTAGTTGAGGCACATACATACACTATTGTGCTGCCATTATTCTGAGTGTAAACTTATAGGTAATGATGTACATGGAGAATGTAACATTTGCGCCTAGTCCAACCCATCAATAATTAGCGGTCTGACTCGCGCATTCGCATGAGTGTTGTGCATGCTTGTCAAGTGCACCTAGGTTCGCTGTCAGATCTTATAAGTTTGAATCAGACTGGTGACAACATGTATTAAGTACTCTTACCTTCTTATTAGAGCAACATGGAAGCAATGGGCATGAATGAAATGAAGGAGGGTGACACGGGAGATGTTGGTCGATTTCTCAATAGATTACTTGGGCTCAAAATCCTTAACCAGAACATGGTGAGCTGTATAGTGTGTCAGATTGAACAAGGGTCATGGTCTTTCGCCACACCACTGATGCACATTGTAGTACGTAGGTAAAGTATTTTTCGTACACCAGTTTATCACTTGTAATGTCAGGTGTTGCTATTTTCATGTTTACAGATGTTTGTGTACTTTTGTGAGTGCCTGTCTGTCGTCATCTCCACAGCAAAAAGGGAGGGCAGGTATATGCAGGTTTTGAGGTTGCAGCTCAAATACACTGTGTATCGCTAAGTACGGTAGTAATAGGGATGGGCATGGTACGTACCTAGCATCATAGATGTATGGGGCTATGATAGGGAGTTTTGTTCTTCTTCTTTCAACACCCATAACTCACAACATAAAGTAATGAAATTTTGTAAGAATGTAGATATCCATCACCCGACTGGTCATACTTATTTCTTTGTAAACAACAACAAATAGCCCCAGGCAATACAATTTTATAATGGGATCACATGTGTCAGTATAACTCAAAATTAATGGTAAGAGCTATGTGAATGAAACTTTGTAGACATAATATATTCAATCACCAACATCAAAATTACAACAATACATGTTTGTAAACAACAACAAATAGCTTGGTAAGTATGCCTATTATATCATTTTCATGACGATTACATGTTTCCATGACGACCGCATTTTGTTTGAAAAAGCCTCAAGCAAAAACCACTTCTTCACTCCTCAAACTTGCTAATTGTAGCACGCATGGAGGTGAAACTTGGTGCGCATATGTATTGCATCACTTCCATGACGACCACAACAACAAATAGCCTCAGGCACTTTTCTTTCTTCACTCCTCAAACTTGCGAATGGCAGCACACATGGTATGCTTTCCATGATGACATTTATACTGTCACATTCCCTTAATTAAAGGGAATGTGACATTATAAATGCTACTAAAAATGAAAAGCACTAAAGTGCAAACCCTCGGCGAACTGCGCATGCACGATACCTCTAATTAATGGGTTAGTCTGCGTTTACCCGTGATCTCCTGAAATAGCTCGCGGAGATTCTGACACAGGCTAGCTACAGTAGTAGATAGCATGCGGGAGTCGATACACGCCCTTCGTTGTGACTTCTTGTGCCTCCGAGGTACACAGAGCAAGCGGATCAGGTCGAGGTAAGCTAGTGCTAATTAGCATATTGGCTTGTTCACTTGGTTTTCACGCCATAACTTCTGAACGCGGAACTTTTACGAAAATCGCCATTTTTGAAATCAAGCCAGTGTAGCGCTGAACCCGTTGGTGTCGCTATTTTACCTGTTTGTTGCGCGTGGTAGCTGAAAACGTGGTAACAGACGGACAGACAGACAGACAGACAAACCAAGTACTGTAACCCTCGCTGCGCATGCGCGTCGAGGGTTAACAACAGGGACACGGTGAAAGAATGCTTGCTTTTAGTAACCTTTAGCCCCTATAAGAGTAGCACACCAGGCAACGTTATAGGGATTGTGTGATGGGGTTGGGGGTGTCAGCGTACTCAAATCTGTTCATTAACCATGCTTCACCCATCCCTATCTTGTCTCCCTTTCTTTTTATACCATCCCTATATGCCTCTTTTTTAAATTCGTAGGATTTTTAATTTACTTGTTATACTTGTTTTTGTGTAGATTTAATGAAGGAGTAACTGACATCCAAGCCCAGAGTATTGTAATGGTCAGAGAGCCAAAAGAAGTTTTCAAGGACTATAAACTATCACATGTGCCAACCATGTAAGTTTTTATGCTAGTAGTTGGTGGATGTCTTTGTTGTATAGGGTGGTGACTTTTATGGCATGGAAATGGCTCTCAATCTTGCTGTATATAGACAACATTGTACTATTGCCTCTCATTATGCAGATCTGGCCTAAACCAATAATGTATTGTCAAATTGATTATTAACCTTCGATTACCATTTATATTTCAGTCGACTGAGTACATCTTGAAGTACATTCGCATTGAGGATGTATCTTGAAATTTTTTGCATTATGAAAATCAACAATAACTTGTGGTTGATTTTACCGTGTTAGAAATGTGCTGTCTAGTTTTTGAGCCGTACAAATCTACCGCATGAAAGTACAAACTTTGGGTTACCCTTTTTCTCTCCAGGCACACTCATGTGGTAGTTGATAGAGGTGTGGGGTGGGATATGGCCCTACAACTGTATGAGGAGCAGGCCGCAGAGCACAAGTCTGAAGTGGCCGACCAGTCCTCGCCAGCTGCTGGCAGAGGAAGTGGGTTCTACTGCTCCAGAAGAGAGCAGTACCATCAACATTTGTACCTTCTGGCTCTTCAGAAGGAAAACTCTCCTCACCTCTTCAATATAGTCAGGTAATTCTTATCCGGGAGTATAGGTCACACTTGTGTTTAATACCTGAGTGTCATGCACGTTTGCAAAAGTGCACCTAATAGATACAATCTGTAGCTATGTAAGTACAATGTCTTGTTTCGCCAGCTACAAGATCTGCACACTAACAACACCGACGTATGCACAAAGACAGAATTTAAAGCAGGTTTCACGCTTAAAATGTGTGTCTTTTAATACTGATAAATTTAACAATTTGTCTTCTCTGATTTGTACTATGCAACAGGCCTAACACAGGTCGATCATTCTTCGAAGAAACAAAGGCTGATCTACTGAGCAAGTATGTCAAAATACCACCCGAAAAAGCAGGTAAACTTTTGAACTACCATAATTATGAGAATGCACTTAGTATGTGGCACTATACCTTCGTATTATGTACATACTGTACATACTCGAGTGGTGTCCTGTCGTTTAATGTATTTACCCAAAGCCTAACACATAATTAACCCTCGGCGCACATGCGCAGCGAAATTACAGTAGTTGGTTTGTCTGTGTGTCTGTGTGTGTGTCGATGCTTATTCTGGCACTACAGGCTACGAGGTGGCCTATTAGCGATACCAGCGGCTTCAGAACTATGCGAGCCTGAAAAATAAAAGGGCGATTTTCCTGAAACAACTGCGTTCGAGAGATATGCCGTGAAAACAAGCGAATACGCATAATTGAACTGGGCTTACCGCGACCTGATACGCTCGCTCTATGTACCTTGGGGGCACAGGAAGTCACAACGAATGGCATGTATCGACTCCCGCATGCTGTAGCTAGCCCGTGTCAGACTCTCCGCAAGCTACTAGTGGAAGACCACGAATAAACGCATGCAAATAGCCCAGCCCATCAATTAGCAATATCGTGCATGCACAGTTTACCGAGGGTTTGCACTTTAGTGCTTTTCATATGAAAAAATACTTGGTTTATAGTGTTGTGTGCCAAGGAGTTAATGGTTCGGGAGTATTTACTTCATTGCTCCTGTAGAGAAAGGATGGAAGACACAGTATGAGATGACAAAGAAACACTGTATTCATGGATCCCACTGCAATAACAAATCAACGTGCCTTGGTATGTATTATATGTGTATTTTAAAGCTTAACTGTCTCCACCAAATCATTCAGCAGTAAATTGCTTCCTTTCTAGCTGCGTCGCCACCACAGGGGACACTTTCATTGAACCCATTATTGGCATTGATAATTGTTGAGCATAATTGTGTAAATACTTGCTGACCCTTAATTAAGGGGGATTGCCATACACATTGGCTGTATAGGATACCTACAGCTATGTCAAACTCACATTGGTTTCTATGGTCATGGTCAAAATAGCCATTTTTCTTTTCTTTTTCTGTATAGTTGGTTCAAGACTAACTTACATTCACCTACTGTCTGGGGGGAATCTTGCCGCTGCTGTCTCTACTAGAGAGCACTCTGGCCCGCAATCTCCATGGCATGGCACTCAGTAAGGAGGTTCGCTCTCTGAGGGTAGTTCGAGTGAGACTGGATGATGGGAGGAGAGTCATTGGCGTGCGCTACCCTCTACCACTTATCTCTGAGGTGGCCAGAACCCTTAGTGCCATGAAGCACAAAAAGCAGGTACAATGTTGTTAATAGACCTGGTACTTGTAATTTGTATCCACTGAAAATGTCAATTAAACAAGTAGTACAGTCAAATCACTTTTGCACATACATTGACACGCACTAAAGAAAGGTATATAGCTTTGGTACCGTTCACTCCCATATGTAAGGCCATAAGGCACAAGTTTTTCTCGTATACATTTTCTTTTAGCCTATTTTTATCTTGACAGGAGGAGCATGCCAAAGTTTCCGTTGCCGTCCCCACTGCAGCTAAAGACTTTGTTTTTGAGGTACAAGTTCCAGTCAATGAAAAGTTCAAAAGGAAAGCACTAACACCTCCTGTTTCACTGAAAACATTTTTTCATGTTGAGCCTAAACTTCCAAATGTGGACTCAAATTCAGCTGGCACAGCGAAACAAAAGGAAGGAAGTGACAAATCACACAAACTACCACTTAAAACTAAGGAATTGGATAAACCTAAGGCAGTTCAGATGAAATTGTTGGACAGTTTTAATGCCACGCCAACCGGTATGCCGAGGGCTCAGTCACCATCTGATAAAGGTCAGCCTGCCGGCAAAAGAAAGCGGAAGTTACAAGAAAAGACAACCCAACACACCTCACTGACAAAACTGTTCAAACAAGCTAGCAATGAGTGTCAATCAATATGTCCTGTTTGTGGTATCCATATCAAGGATGTGTCGAACTCAGGGATCAATCTTCACATAGATAAATGTCTTAGGAAGTCATAAGCATCACCATTGCATTCATAACATTTGAGTCATTATTGTAAAACTTCTTTGGCTCTTATGGTGCATTATTGTCAATCATTAGTTGCAGTTGTCAGAAGTTCTATATAATTATATGCGGGACATTCAACTCTCTTTATTCAGCTGTAAAGATACCCCAGTGAAGTTAAAGTGAACACATTGAGTATTTTCCGAAGGTCTTATTATAGCGAGTGAGTTGTAGGAGGAAGAGGCCTATGTAGAGAAGGCTACAGAGTGCAGTGGAAATTAATAATGACCTCTATCTGTATGTGCAATGCCCACTCTAACTCAATACTTCTCAGGGAAACTTCATATATATCTCTAACCTGTGTCCATCATTCATACCGTGCCTTCTCATACAATCAACTTACTCTTCATCCATCATCTCCTTCCATGAACACACAAACACTGCACATGTGTGCCGAGAATTGACATACAATAACCTTTTGCCTATAGCTCTTGCTAGCATGACTTTACACAACCTATTCTGTTGTACTCAAAACATCGCATGTGAGCATTTACAACAACTGCTACAAACAACAATAATTAAGCTCGACTGTTCTTCTTTCCCCTCATCTTGTGGCAGCTGCTACCAGTGCACATATGGAAGTTCCAGATAGTATTCTGTGGTATAATATAAGTGGTACAGAAACACCATAATTATTATGCACAGTCTAAAAGGGTAACCAGGATTATGATCATACCAAAGTTGCACAGTGTGCAGCTCACCTCAAACTCTTCAGTCTCTTTGTCAGTAAGTGAAGCTACAGCATTATGCAGCTCCCAGTAATCCTATAATAGAGCCAAGTAACCAATAAAGCACACAGTGAACCAACCCAACAACTACTGTGCAACTTGCAGTTTTACCTCTGTAATGTTGTAATACTCCCTGAAGTATATATCACTCTGTGACATAGGAACTGCATCTAAAACGTACACATTATAGATTTGACACATTATTGCAAAAGTGTAATCTTACCAGTTGAAAAGAAATCTGAAAATATCTGATCCCCATTTTGACTGTCGTGCATCCTCAAGCTTAAGAATGTGTTATTGACACAATCTGTAACAAAAATGTTACACTTAGGTACTCGTGTTGATGGATAATTGGAGCTCAGTACCATGTAAAAAGGGTACGTAAGGTCCATAATAGAAGCAGCCAACACCAGGGCTTGTTCCTGCTCCAAAATACTCCACCAGAAATTGGTAGTTTGTCTGAGCAATAATTCAGTTAAATATTGATAGTAAAAGGGCCGAGAACCAGAGTAGCCTAGAATCAAAAATGGTAACTATACAAAGGAATAGATGTTGTATCACCATACTGTAATGCTTCAAAAACAGTTGAAATTCTACTCGCAACAATAAGTATGAAGCCATGCATTTCTAACTGAGAATGATAACATACCCGTGAATCGTACATACACAGTTATACTAACCCAAAAACCTATCTGCACACATTAACCTCTGCTGGTTCTTCTCCAAGTAGTATTGGCTTCAATGACTGACCATCCATGTCTTCTGGCAAAGGCCACCCAGCAAGGTCCAGAAATGTTGGTGCCTGCAAGTTATAACAAGTAAATTAAAAATCCTGCGAATTTAAAAAAGAGTGCATATAGGGATCGTATAAAAAGAAAGGGAGACAAGATAGGGATGGCATCTGTGGAAGCACAGAGATGCTAGCGAGGAGTTAGGACTCCCACAGGTCATTACAACAGCCCTATATCGTCGTACGGTGGGAGTACCTAGCATCATAGATGTATGGGGCTATGATAGGGAAAGTTTTCAATCTTCTTCGTAGGGTGGGAGTGGGAGTGATGAGAGAGTCTGTAGAATATTGCTATAGGTAATGAAGTACTTACTAATTCCCTTTGATAGATTTGTCATGCTACATTTCCATGGAGTGCGCATTTAGGTGGAAGTATAATCAGCTGACCATAACACATGTATATAGATGGCACATGGGAAAATTGTGTAACGCAAGAAAACAAAATTCAAGTATGCAAGGTTGGCTGATATATATTCACGAGGAAGTAGTAAAGCACCGATACGACGATATAGAGCTGTTGTAATGACCTGTGGGAGTCCTAACTCCTCGCTAGCATCTCTGTGCTTCCACAAACGCCATCCCTATCTTGTATATGCACTCTTTTTTAAATTCGCAGGATTTTTAATTTACTTGTCTCCACTCATTTTTATATACTACTACGTATTATCTCTGTGGAAGGGGGCAAGCCCCCATAAAAAATTTAATAATAGAGAAAAATGCCTGTTGTTGTCATGGAAATGAAATGCAACCATCCATGTGTGCTGCTGTTAGCAAGTGTGAGGAGTAAAGAAGTAATTATAAAGAAAACTGCCTGAGGCTATTTGTTGTTGTGGTCGTCATGGAAACGATGTAATACACATGCGCACCAAGTTTCACCTCCATGCGTGGTACCGTTAGCGAGTTTGAGGAGTGAAGAAGTAGTAAAGTGCCTGAGGCTACTTTGTGTTGTGGTTGTCATGGAATTAATACGTATGTGTATCAAGTTTCACCTCCATAAATGCTACAGTTAGCAAGTTTGAGGGGTGAAGAAGTAATTATAAAGATAATCGTCTGAGGTTCAAACAGTATGCGGTCGTCATGGAAACATGTAGTTGTCATGGAAATGATATAATAGGCATATGTACCAAGTTTCATCTCCATGCGTGTACCGTTAGCGAGTTTGAGGAGTGAAGAAGTAATTTTAAGAAAAGTGCCTGAGGCTATTTGTTGTTGTGGTCGTCATGGAAACGATGTAATACACATGCGCGCCAAGTTTCACATCCATGCGTGCTAGAATTAGCAAGTTTGAGGAGTGAAGAGGTAATTTAAAGAAAATTGCCTGAGGCCTTTTCGAACAATATGCGGTCGTCATGGAAACATGTAATCGTCATGGAAATGATATAATCGGCATACACACCAAGTTTCATCTCTATGCGTGCTACAGTTAGCAAGTTTGTGGAGTGAAGAAGTATTATTTAAAGAAAAGTGCCTGAGGCTATTTGTTGTTATTTACAAACATGTGTTGTTGTCATTTTGATGTTGGCTATTGAATTCATTATGTATGCAAACTTTCTTTAACATAGCTCTTACCAATTGCGAGTTACACTGACACATGTAGTATGCCCATTAAAATGTATTGCCCATTATAATGTATTGCCTGGGGCACTTTTGTTGTTGTTTACAGTAAACAACATTGTTTACAAACAAAAAAGTATGACGTTGCACATGTGGTTATCGATATGTACACTCCTGCAAAATTTCCTGGCTTTATCTCTTTCGGTTTTTGGGTTACGCTGGTTTAAGAAGAAGAAGAAGAAGATGATGATGAACAAAACTCCCTATCATAGCCCCATACATCTATAATGCTAGGTACCATGTCAATCCCTATATACTAAGTACTACCGTACTTAGTGATACGTAGAAACCAAGTGACCACAGGAACAAAGGTGTAGTTACCATGTCGATGCTAAGTGCAAGGGCTTGGGTTGTTGTGTTGGGTTTTATCCCCGGACCACGCACAATAAGTGGAACACGGATATCCTCCTCATAGGGCTGTCTCTTTTCCCCCTGCAGGAAATGTCATGACTATTAGGACTATGTCACATAACATGCATGTACATACCTGTTGTTTGAACTGTCCCAGATGATAGCCTGCAGAACGTGACACCGAATGTTTACACATCAATACCTCCGCCAAAAATAGAACGTACCATGATCACTGTTAAAGAAGATGTATGTGTTGTTGAGGACTTTCTGTTTCTGACAAGAGAGACATACATAAGTTCCACAGTGTTAGAGTCTAAAGCACTCAGACCTTCCACCCCAGGGCAGATTTATGTATGGGGTCTGACTTATGTTACCATGAGGCATTAGTCACACATTAGTCACAAGTCATGTATCACTGATTTTTCCACACCTGCACCCTACAATGCATGCACATTGGAGGAGCTGTTTATGCATGTATGTAATGGTTTGTTTGCGCCGTCAGACTAGAGGACCATTGTATGGAGATCCAGGTGACTAGTGACCGAGGTGGAGGTCCGGCGGACAAGCGGACCCATTCCAACAGTATTTGAGCTCTGGTGCAGAGAGTTAAGGTTGCACAGCCTCTACCACTATATAGCTGATTGAGACCACAAGATTGATGCTATGAACTTAAAAGCTTCAGATCAGGAGAGAGACAAAAAACTTCAAAATAATAATAAGAGGTGTTAATTAGTTATGATGTGCTGATTAAGATACTAACCAAGGCACTAATTTACGACAATATGCCATCCTGGTGCCAAAACACAGGTCTTTTGAGCCCGAACGTGAGAGTCCTTACCTCCAGGGCTCCAACTACAGCCTCCAGCAGGTCTTGAACTGACAGTAGTGTCTCCAAACGCATCTCGTACAGTTCATCAACTAATCCAATTACTTCCTTTGTCATCACAGGAGTACCTGGAAACATTTACATGCGCAAGTAAAACAATGAAGCAAATTGCTGTCCTAGATTTGGTGTTGACAAACTGCCCATGTAACTATACCACAAACACAACTTTTGTAACTTCAAGAGTTACATGTCTTATTATTAGTGCTCATTCAGCCAATCAGATGCTTCCATTTGGTCACATACACGCCGTTTTAAATCACGTAATGCACTGAAAAGTGTGAAAAACTATACAAAACACGTATGTATGTACACAACACATCTATGCACTATTGTGTCCAATAAACAGATATTTCACGCTTTGCACGGATATTGTACAACAGTTGGGAAATGCATGCCCACACGTTATTGGTCATCCTTGTGCACACACCGCTAAGTGTTATGTAGATTTACCTTCTGAGATAATCCAGTGTTTATCTTTGCTATCGAAATTGTATGAAGGAGAGCGGGGCGCTACCTGGCCCACAAACCTGCTCTCATACTGAGGGGCAGGAGTAGCTGGGCGGTGTGGGGCTGGGGTAGCTATGTACATAAAGATAGGAGAATCAGAAGATTCTTCAATGAACTTCACTGCCTCAGCTTTTATGACATCAGTGAAGTAGTCAAGTGTGTAGTTGTCTCCGTGTGATTCCTTTACTCCTTGGTTGGAGACTGAATAGTTGTAGTATTTACTGCAAAAAATAAATGTCGGGTGCATAAAGTGTGTACGGGTGTACAGCATGCAAGAAATAGCAGGACAGGGGAAACACATGCATGTACGTTTACTGTGCCGACTCTCAATTGTATTGGCTGGTCCTCTAAACTTACACTTAGCGTTTGAATTCCCTGTTACTTGTGACTACTGACACACTTTTGAGCTGCTTGATGCCCTTTCCAGTACTTATTAGCATAATAGGCTTATTCACCCCATACCCACAAGTCAAAGCAGAGAGTTTACATAAGAAATGAAACAGACAGACTGCTACCAGATGAAAGACAAAATTACTGACAGATACACACTAACAGCAACTATACAGTAACCCTCACTGCTTGCATGGTGAGGGCTAATTAACCATTGGTGGGCATCCAGCGAGGGTTACAGTACTTGATCTGCGTGTCTGTTACCACAATTTCTGCCACCGGGTGCAAAAGCTAAAAAGCTATGCCAACAGGTTCGGCGCTACATTGGCTTCATTTCAATCTTCATAAACATACTGCGTTCAAAATTATGGTGTAAAAGCCAAGTAAACAAGCCAATATGCAAATTAGCATGGCTGCCCGTGTTGTGCACTTTGGAGCCATCAAAGGTTATGACGAAGGGCGAGAATGGAGTCCTGCAATATAAAGCTGTCTACCCACATAGCAATGCCAGACTCACAGCTGTTGAATCTTCAGCGTTGCCCAGCCCATCAATTAGCAGTCTACAGACCCGAGCATGCATATGGGTGTTGCAATGTGTCACTTTAATGCTTTTCATTGTTTTATGTAGTTAAAAAAATATCAGTTAGTAGTAGTACATAGATGTGGGTAAAGGTCGGTATATATACCTGTTTCCCTGCAGAGTAAACCATCTTGTCCATCCAGGTGGTATATGACTCAGATCTACACCAGAACCAGGTTCTCCGTAGTTGTTCAGATATTTTCCTGTGACATTCAAGATATAAACTGGTCATTGATAATACTGTACTCACCAAAAAAACCTGTCTTATAACCAGCCATGCTCATGTAAGGACCCATGGTTTTGTTTTCATTGAGTGTCCTCCAAGACGGTGCATCACAACCTCTTTCCACTGTGTTCTCGTAGGTGTGGTGATTGTGAGTGTACTTTCCTGTTAGAATTGAGGACCTGTACATTAACACACGGTAATGTAAACAGCTTTCAGCAACAAAATGAAAACAATTGCCTGACCCTTGCAAAAGAGGTGTAATGCAGGTCTGCCACAATGATGCACGACATACACACGTCTTTTACGGCATATCATAATGTCACATATGTACATGCACGTGCAGCAGGAAAATGCTGGACTACAGTAACAGAAATCACACTAAAGGAAACTCAGGTGTGTTCTTCTAACTGTTATAGGAGAGTGGCTGAACCTTCAGAGCAGAGTACATAATATAGTAAAGCTCAAAAGCAGCACGTGTTTTCTCTCTACCCATACCCCCAATTCTGCTGTGTCTGTATGTAACAACCCCTGATTGTTCCCTCAACCGCAATGTAAGAGTTCGCAGTTTGCAAAGTTTGGTGTTTGGCAAATATTGTAAGATGCAAGGAGACTGACACTGTATGCTAACTAGTAACAACAAGATGTGTTACGACATTACCTAGAAGGGCAACATACTGGTGTGGTTACAAATGCATTGTCAAAGTAGAGGCCTTGGTCTGTCATCAAGGATTTCAGCACAGGTAGAGCATCCAGGGATCCAAGTTTGACATCCTGGTCATCAGTCAGAACATACACTAGAGAGACAGTGTAGATGGTGCACGCAAGCTCAAAGTAGATTGCACTCACCTATATTGGGCTTGCTCACCACTGCAGCGGCCGTGAGCAGAAGGACAAGAAACACCTCGCGAAAGACCGCCATGGTAGGGCTACGCCCTCTTCACACGTACGCATGCACGTGCGCAGTTGCCGCATTTTGAAATACAGACTGTCTGATCGAGGGGGAGAGAATTATCTGTAAGTATGACTAGATTCGGCTCCAATTTTCACATGCACGAGTTCAGCCGTCCTGACTCCCAAAGTCTTTAACATGAAGTCCATTCATTCAACCCACGAAGTTAGGAATGGGGTCTTTGTGTTTATCTACCCCACACTTGTATTATCGTCTTGAAAAGTTATAATTACATAATAATTACACTATCCTGTAGGGGGCTGCACTCTCATCATAATTATTGTGACCAGAAGAAGGGATAGAACCAGGAAAGCCTCAGACCAACAGAAACATGCCGTCAAGTTTGTGGATTGGGAATCTTCGGCATACCAGAGATATCTCCGCACACTAAAACACAAAGTGATCTACATGTTAAATTACACTGTTTATTTACGTACGTTGTTGTCATCCTGGGCAGGTAAACATTTCACAACATCCCGGTATTACTATCAGTGTACATACATAGCTGCCAACCGTCCCGGAATTAGCGTTATGTATCGGGTCAAGGAAGTTAGGTCTTTTTGTCCAGGAAAAATTTATTGAGCGTATACTTACACTTGGGTATCGTTACAGACCTGGTGTGCATATCTGTGTCCAGGAAAATTAGGCAAAATCTAGGACAATAGGCCTGAAGGTCCAGGAAACATTATTAGCAGATATAACTGTGTCACCTTCAGGGTGCATGAGTGCAGGATGAAGACTGGGTAGCCCAGAGGAACAACGGCCTACCTCCAGGTGGCAGAGAAACCATACAAATGTATGGAGCTGAAGGTCAGTGAAGGTCAGTCATACAATGACATACTAGCTCACTTACCAGATAGTGTACTAAGAATGGCAAGAGAACACAGTGTGAAATTTCAGCAGTTTTCTGTACATGACAGCGCTGTATGACTGATTTGCTTGTCAACAACAACAAATAACCCCAAGCAATTCCTTATGATGGGGATGGGATAGGATAACTAACCAGTACATGAAAGCATTTTACATCAGCTACGTATGTATGTACATACAACAAAACACGGCAACACAAAAACACTTGCATGTCATCACATGGTCTATTGCTACATGTACATAATTGTGCAGCAATATCAATGCATTCTTTTCGACACATCTGATTGGTAAACCGTCTTGGCACCTGGTCAGGCCTTCATTTAGAAATTGATGTATAACATGTGCATACTAATAGGGGGCGAGAGTTTATCAGGGAGCGCAAGCACCCCCTCTTACCCAAATGAACCCCTAAAAGTCAATCTTGTGTAATGCCACGTACCACATGGCCTCTAGGCTAAGCGCTGCAAGTGCATGAATGAGGTAATTAGTGTAGTTGGGAATTGCATTTGGCTGGGATTGTTTTAACTGCTACACCTCTTTCATGTCACATTAATATCAAGCATGCAACAATTTCATACCAACTATTCCTACCTTCCTACTCTTCAACCATCTTCACTTTATCCAGTGCATCAGACACCCACAAAATCGGTTTGCATGGACTAGATAGTTTCGGTTCTCCTAATGTGTAAAAGACTGGGTGATATTCACCCTTCATTAATGAAAAGCACTAAAGTGCAAACCCTCGGCACAGAACCATGTTTCTGCAGCGTCTCAAGAGGCAAAAATATATAATAGCTACACTTCACCCACACTTGGGAAATTGCTAAAAATGAAATGAGGATAGATAGACATAAAAGTGGTGTAAAATAGATGTGCCAGCAAGAATGAACTCGAGTATCTGATGGCAGTGCGCTTGTCGAAGACGTTCGTATTGCTAGGGCAAAGTAGTGGATTTGGAGGCTCCAACCGCTTTTGATATACTGCATCTCATGCGCATAGTGTCACAAAACACATGTGCGTGTCAGTCGTGAAAAAGAAACGAAATGGCAGACCTGGCCGCGGTAAACAAAACGCACTCTAACTTTTTAGGTAAGCGGTTTCAGAGAAAACAGCTTATATTGTTTTCTTCATCATACTCAATAATCTAGTGTCCTTCGTTGCACGTTTCATAGCGTGACTTGCGAGATTTAGCAGAGCGGACAAACAGACAGACAGAAAGACTTACGAACGAAGTACCGTAACCCCCTGGTGCATGCACGCCGAGGGTTAATAATTTCTTTAGCATCACGTTCCTACTTTGTGTTTCCATGCATAATACCTAGTGTATTATCTAATGTGCAAGAAGTTGCTCCGTCGCTAATGTTCTTGGGTGGAGATGTTGTGGAATCATCTTCGTCAACATGTCTGCTTGCTGGATAGAAACACTGCTTTTGATCATAGAGTAATACTATTCTTAATAGTGTGCACCATCATCCATTATCGTCATTCTGACAGTTTTTTCCTGCGCCCACTTTTCTCCACAAAGAGCTGTCTTGGGTGTATTTGTTGTGCCTTTGCCATTGTCTTGTATTGTGATGGAGATTTGAACCCCTACCAGCTGAGTTGCCTTGTAGCTCAGTTGGTAGAGTGCTCGCCTAGACTGCAGAGTGTCGTGGTAAAGAAACCAGCATTGCTGTCCTGGGTGTAGTTGACTTGTTTGTTGTTTTTGCCTTTCTTACCTTGTAGTTGACACATAGCACTCTATCATCATTTACCCTCTGCGCAACACGATGTAAGTTTCATGCGTGTTTTAGTGTAATGGTGCTGAGACAGGTGCTCTCTGCACCCCAACAGATGAGTATGGAGGATCCTGATAAGAGGAGTTTTTTTATTGTGTTGAAAATGCCCTAGAGCAACTATAATATTCACAGCTATCCATGTACATGCATGAGTCTTTTTTACAACTATTTGTTTACAGCGTCAGCAAAGGCGTCTGAATGTGGTTATGAATTCTATATAAACATAAGTGTTGCCTAATTTTGAATGTTGGTATAAGAAAATACGAACACTTCATAGTTTGGAGCATACAACTGTATGATTAATGCACCCTCCTAAGTCTTTGTGGGTGTGTCAAGCCTTAAAAGAACCTCATATGTACATTTTTAGGAGTTCCTTGTTGATGTATTTGGACTGGATTTGGACTAATATTAGGTCAAATCTTTTGAGAATGCATCTGTGTAGTTGATTTTCTCTGCTTCATGGCAGGATTTTTAATTTCCTTGTTTCCACTCATTTTTATATACTACTACGTGTATCTCTGTGAAAGGGGGCTTAAACCAAATGTAGTAGGTGTTAGCCAGTCTCAGAGCAAGAAATTGACACTACTAGCAAGAAGAAACACAGCATGGCCAGTGTACACTACACATGCACACTGCTTCAGCTTTTAATATTGGTGGGTGCTATTTTAGCAAATAATTAGTCTAAGAGCCAAGATGTGACCCTGAGAGAATACCTCACTTACTAGCATGGTTACCTCCCTCACCGAGACTAGTGTTCAGTGATACACAGCGCTATTCTCCTAAGTGGTCTGCAGCTGACAGAAAATGACTATATACAAGCACTGTATATACACAAAACTCTAGCTTACTGGCATGTATGTCATGTGTATAATGTTATATGAGCTACTAAAAGGTGATTGGACAAATGCTCTATAATATACAAGAAAATACCCTTACTTCATAATATGAAAAGCACTGAAGTGCAAACCCTCGGCGCACTGTGATGCGCACGTGTAAGTAAACGCATGCGCCGTACCACTAATTGATGGGCTGGGTTTAGTTGTAGCTGTTACTCATGGTCTCTTGCCAGCTCGCGCAGAGTCTGACGCGGGCTAACTACAGTACTAGATAGCATGCGAGAGGCGATACACGCCCTGCGTTGCATCTTCTGGTGCCTCCGAAGTACGCAGAGCACGACCGCGGCAAGCCGTCCCGTCTGTTGCGTATTTGCATATTAGCTTTTTCGCACTCTAGCTTTGCAACGGAGCATTTTCAGAGAAAACCGCACATATTTTCTGACGTTCATTGCCCGTTCAGTAGGTGGTATCCTTTGTGAGACGAACGAACACTCGAAAAGTGAGATGAAGAGTAACAGACAGACACACAGACCCAACTACCTTAACCCTTCCTGCGCACTAAGTTTGACTCACGAAATTTGTTGTTGGTTACCCAATGCCATAAGAAAAACTGGTTATAAACATGGGTTATGAGCTAAGAAGAATGAAAATGCTCACCAGCATATTTCGTGACTCAAAACTTAGTCTTGTATGAAGAACCAACCAAAAATACAATAACACTTTCTTTCACCCTATCATCAATCATAACACATTCTAAGCTGGAAAATGAAGCTTGTGGGTGATAAAACTATATTGTTCACCAGTGTCTTTTTGTAGTCGACCTGCCTTTTAATTATATAACATGCATTATATGGATCAATGCATGTGTAGGAAGATTTTTCCTCCCAGGGAACTATGGAAACCCAAACCTACTTCCTAGGTCTACATTGATGGTTTCCACTTAGTGGTTTTCATTTATGGTTACTGGGCCACCTGTGTATGTCAAGCAAGCTGTTGCGATTACTCATTTTTGTACTATGTGTCTCATACCAAACAACTGAACATTTTTTCATAACCTGGAACTGATGGCATTGCCTGCCTAACTCCACTGTACACAAATTAAAAGTGGGGCTTGCCCTGACTTAATTTTTAAAATGTGGATTAGGATGAATGTCATGTCAAAACAAGATGTCCCTACAAAACAGAATATAAAATTTTTTACCATGGCATATAAGTATCGCTTTTCTAAATTTAGTGCAGTTGCATTTTATTACGTGTATAGGAAAGGTGACGATGGTGTTTGTAATGTGAAACTTTCTCCAATATCTCTATGGGAATGACTGCACTTTACAGTGGAGCTCCTCAGATAATAGCATTGCCATCCTAATGTTTTTGCCCCAAATAGTTATATATACAGCTACATAGGTACTTGCCAGCTTTCGGTTGAATATCTTGTCAGAAATGACTACGCCATTTGTACTTTGCTGATTCTACCCTCAGCGTTTGTTTCAGTCCCAACAGTGCTGCTGCTGCTGCTGATCTCCGGGAGGATGTGAAGTCTCACAGTGTACATAGACTTAGTTTCCTTTTGATCTACTACGAGTTCTTCGCAGCGCGTGATCGCGCGTTACAAGTGCGGGCCTTCTACAGAGGGGGTGTGGTACTAGTTGTCATAGGGGCGGGGTGTACACGCGTGGATCTGATTGGAGAAAAAGTCACTTGTGCAGCAATTTGATTGGGTCATGTAGCAAGCGATCTGATTGGTCACAAGCCACTTGCACGGTAAACCTCCCTCTTTCTCGGGGTGCTCTGCGCGCATGCGTGTGTTTACGCACGCGGCCCGACTTGACTTGGCTCTGTACCCGATGGGGTGGTACTGCTGTGCTAGGGCTCGGGGACGAGCACTCTTCCTTTGCTGGCCAGAGTGGACAAGGAGGAGAGAGTTGGTTTTATCGAGGAGGCCTTAGACTGCATCTGCATAACCGTGAGGCTAAATTTCTTACATAACCACTCCAAATGGCCTCAAATCTTAATCTTTTGTCGTGAAGATCATGCATGTATTCACTCTAAGAGTTTTGTGAGTATTAGACACGAAGAAACCTGCTGTTTTATATTAGCAGCCATAGCACTTGACCACCCGCAACTCTAGGCGGAGCTAGAACAAGATGAACAAGATGTGCAAGATTAATGAAAGTGCCTGCCTTACCACACAGACACCCAAACTTACCCAGCCCCATGGTGACCCCTTGCGGTCTCCAGGTGCACCCTGAGACAGGGACAGTTTAACGCTAGGATTATGGCCATAAAACTCAGCCTTTCTCCCAGGTACAACAACAAGCTCCAGCAACGAAGAAATAGTTTTCCTCCCATAACTCAGTACCGAACAAAATGACTATCTAGAGACTTCAAATGCTGAAATTCTCCCCAAAGAATCTCCCACAGTTGACCCATGAAATCGCTTCTACCGTTGCTGTAAGCAGGACACTCCCACAACACATGACTGATGCTTTCGCACTCAGCATTACACAATCCTTCCCTTCGTCTCTGTGTACCAAACTCACCATTAGTTCCTTGGACATTGAATCTAGTCACTGGCCCCATGCCCCTCTTCAAACTGTGACTTCATTTGCTTCAGGGTGGTTTGTTAGAACCCTCAGTTGCTGCATTCCTAGCATAATTATTGGCCTGACCAGCTAATCCACTGTAAGAAACATTTGCCTGAGGTTGTGTGTATCATATTTCAAGAGTTTTTAAAGTTCCTTCTCAACAACCAATTAGGTAGGTAAAATTCCTCGAGGAACACTCAGCACCCATAGACAGTGGTATGACACACATGCCAAAATGACTGCGCAAATTGTCTGCATTCACTATTACCGCTTGCACTCAACCGTTGTATATGCACACATGAAAAGTTAGGACAGAGGGCGATTATTGAGTATCTTTATGCATAAAACCCTATCTACTAATGTAACTTGTTTGTATTGCGCTCCCAGCAATCAAGTGAGTACATATAACCCATCTCTCAGTCTATTAATGGGAGAATCCACACATTTGTACGTGTGTGTGTATTGGTGTTTAGTTTTTTGTACGTCCCCTCTGGTAACTTTTCTGACACATTTGGAGTGTTTCGACTACATCTAACCACCTCAAACTTTCTAGATCACCTCTTTTGCAGTGTATACACTTACACACACATTATTATGTCAAGCTCTTGGTACACATGGGCAGCGATGTTAGCGAGGAATCATCAGAGTGTGTCTGTCTGTTTGTGGCAGCTAAAAGTGGCCAACAGCCTCAGTACTATAATTTAGACGTGGATTATTTTTGAAAAACCACTATAATCAAGAGTTATGCAGGTCAAAAAGTTTTGTACACATCCAATGTCAAGTGTCCTCCACTAATTCCTTCGCAAACAACCACAGCACTTTCTGTTACGTTAGCCTTCAGCCCCCACTTTCTGCAGAACCACACTGTCTTCAAGGATCGTTCACACACCACACACACAAAATCACAATACGTTCTGATGTGTTCTTAGGTAAGCGAAGTGAGCCTACTTAGTAGTCTGAATGCGGTAATTCTCTACATACATGTTAGTAAAAAAATATTAGATTTCAATATTGACAAGACAGGGATGACCTGGTACAATGGACAATGGCTACATTTTCAAACTTACATTGCTTGCTTGTGTAAATGTTCCTCAAAACAAGCCTTATTTTTTCCCACTTTTACTCACGACCTGCAGGGTGTGTCTGGGAGGTGAGACAGACACCTCATGTTCATGTGGTGTATGTTCGTTTGTTAACGGTTCCGCCCATTGCTCTTGGTGCGTGGTCTATGGCCCTAGTGCCACCTGAGTATATTATATTATTACTCACGACCTGCAGTTTGCTCATGGTGCAAAGTGTGAGTACATAATAATGCATGTGCAGAGTGTGAGTACAGTTTAAATCACACTAAATTTAGTCAATGTGCAGGAAACTCAGGTGTGTTCTTCTAACTGTTATAGGAGAGTGGCTGAACCTTCAGAGCAGAGTACATATGTATAGTAAAGCTCAAAAGCAGCACGTGTTTTCTCTCTACCCATACCCCCAATTCTGCTGTGTCTGTATGTAACAACCCCTGATTGTTGCCTCAACTGCAATGTAAGAGGCTGTACTGAGAGAACTGGAGAAAGCCTGGCTGGACCTCAGAGGACGAGTCGGTGAGATTCTATCACTCTCTATTTCCACTACACTTTGAGTCTCTATCTTCTACATAATCTATGCATTTTTAGTAGTGCTCGTATATAGTGTCTTCAACCTGTAAGGTGTCACTCATCAACACAAACTTGCATAGCTACACCCAATATCCTCTTGCTACACTTTCAAGATGTCCCTTTGCAATATATTTTGGACAGTATAATATACGAACTGTATCCAGTCATCTGTTTTCAGGCTATATACATTTTTTCTGCAGTTAGCGCAACCTATCCGGCACCTGCTCTTTTTATAATACCTAATGAGCTAAGTGGCCAGGCCCATCTTTTCTGTATGTAAATCGTTCATTAATAGAACCACCAAATTATTATGTTCCACGGTCATTAATAATAATGGATGCATAAGTTGGATGCATCCGCATGCAGATACGAAGAGTGTCCACCTTCTTCTGGAGCTCCACGGACACCAGGAGATGTTGGTCCTCTTCCTCTGGATGTCAGAGGCAGAGGAAACCCTGACTACCGTGGAGACCAGTCCAATCAATGAGGATACTGTCCACGATCAGCTGGCTCAACATGAGGTCTTGATCTCCCTAACATAAAAGAGTGGAAAAGGTATTGTCGTTGGTTGTTTGCTCTGCTGCAGCAGTCTTTCATCCTCGCATATTAAGCATACTTATTGTGACTTGCGTGGGCGGATCAAAGGAGCCGCGCATACTTTTATTTTCCGTATTGTAGCACGCGTTCAATATCACTATTATTGCACGTTCAATAATTACTAGCATCAGTATCATACCCATGCATAGTGTAGACAAAAGAAAAAAACTGTTCTGTATATAGAGGCTTTAGAGGTGAGGGATGACTGTTCTGTAGAGGCTGTAGAGGCTAGGGATGGCTGAGGCGACCACACCCCTTCGTTCAACTCCCTGTGGCAAGGGAGACCACGGCTGCGGCACACCGACCGGTCAAACGGCTCAGCGACCTATGAAACGAGCTTCTCTGAGGGAGAAACAGCCACCATCACGACCTTGTTCGATTGCGGTAACCTGAAGAACAGAGAACTCGCTCGAGAAGCCAGCGAGTGCGCACGTGTGCATGGGTAAGTAGGCTACGCAGTTGTATTTCTCTCGCTGGAGGTCGACGACTGCTACAAAGTCACAATAAACACATAATGTGCGTCCTATCGTTCTGTACATGACTTATGGGAACTCGGGTTGTGGTCTCGACATTCATACAGCACTCGGCGTCTCTCGACCACACCCCTCGTTCTCATAAATCACGTATGGACCTCTAAACGCACATTATCTCTTACATAATATCACCTAACACGCTTTCTAGTTTCCTACTTTGCATTTCTTTGGTATTAGCTATTATATTATACATCTGGGTATAGTTGACTTTTATTTTTACCATCAAGTCTTTTCCTATATATTTGCCCTCTAATAATATTCCAGACTTTTCAAAGCGCCATGCGACCCACAAAAGCCAGCCTGACGCAGACTGTACCCTTCCAAAGGTCTGTGGAACAAGTTAATTAGTGTACTCCAAACTTTTCAGTAAAATCGTACTAACCTACCTGTGAATCCCTAGCTATCCTTTATAACCATGCAAACTCATGCCATGTGTAAGTGGAATGGAGTTGGATGTTGTGTCCAGGTGGCAGAGACTTTGCTTGAAGTCGTCAGAGAGACATCGTCAGTTACTGGAGGTTCGCACCAGACTCAACGACATTGTTCTTGCCAGGTTACCACTCCGCATACATCCACCATTGGTCTACATAGCAAGATGACTTAACTAGCTCTCTGTAGCATTATGACTCAGTTATTTACCAGAATATCCATTTATCACCGGTTCCGTAGCTGTCACTAGAACTAAAGTGCACTATTGGTCGTTTTACGAATGATTTAGGGTCCTGAAACATTGTGTCAGAAGAATGTACACAACTACATATGTAGGTGGGCTTTCTTCACTGTCCAATTTTCTAGCTTGCTAACATTATATTATAGAACTGTATAAAATCTGACACGCTTTATGTATGGGTGTTGTTGTTGTTGTTGTTCAGGTCGTTCAGCTTTGATGTGTGGAGGAAGAATTTCAATGGGTGGGTGGACCAGCAGAAACTGAGGGTCAACGACTTGTTCCGCAGATTTGACAGCAACCACGACGGGATGTTGACGAGGGACGATGTAATTAGAGGATTCAAGGCATCAGGTAATGTATAATTATAGCGAATATTGACAAGTTTAAATTAGCAAGCCTTCCGTTTCAGTGGGCCTTTCTTTTCCATTTATGTTCAAAATCTTGTGACATGTATGCAGTGGAAGCCTAATTTCAAATAGAGATGTTATAAACCTTGCCATTAATAATTATATATACCAAGCATTTTGAAGAGATTATGCCGATTTATCTTCTCTTTATTAACTTCAATTTCGCTACTGTGCTTACAATCCTGCTGCTTTTCCACCTCTTTCACACCTTATTCTGCCCTCTCTGTGTAACCCATGCAGGTCTAGCCATGAGTCAGATTGAGCTGGAGAAGATAGCGGACCATTTCGACAGGACAAAGACGGCTACATTGACCGCAGTAAGATCAGCTCCAACTCAGGGGTCAGCGGAGAGCACGGTCTCTGTGTAGTACAGCCCGTGTCTCTGACTCTGGGAAGATTGACCTTGAGGTAATAATGATAATAATACTCAGGTGGCTGCCATAGCACTAGGGCCATAGAGGTAGTATGAAAGCTTTTTTAAATCTCCCAGTAGCTTTTATAGAAAGATTTCTGCTGGCTGAAATAATGGTCCGACTTTTGTTTTTAGATACAGTACCAGGTGTGTGCTTGTTTCATGCGAAAAAAGATCACAGCGACTGCAGAGGGCTGATGGAAAGTATAGAGTAAGTCATATAATTTGTCTTTCTTATATGCACAACTTTATACCATCAAGCAAGAACATGAGTCTACAGATCACTGTGTAGTTACAACGCGTGCATACCTCTCTTGTGATCAGTGGCTGGTACTTCTCAAATTAATCTCTTGATGTCATTAATGTTTCAAATACCACACTTTTATTTTGATGCCATAAGCAGATAGATGTTCTCTCTGTGTGTCTGTAGTTTGGGGACTCTCTGATGCTGCGACAGGTGAACATCCTTCGCAGTGGAGTGATAGTGAGAGTTGGTGGAGGCTGGGACCCACTAGAAGAGTTCCTCAGGAAACATGACCCCTGTAGAGGTACCTACAGTAGAACCTCGGACAAGAGCATGATAATTATAACGCAGAAAGCAAAGAGTGTATAACTCCAATGGAATTGGTGGAATATTATATTGCGTATTTAATTAATTATTATAGCTACTTCCATTTGCAAGTCGCAATGTTCTAACGTGTAGTCGGTTTTTCTGACATATTATTATAATCACCATGTTTCTATATAATTATACTTCTATGTTTCTTGTACTTGAAACTAGTATTCCTCTTACACAGCCACCTGAGGGGTATGGACGTGGGGTTGACGACAGCTACCAAGACCCAGACCGCCATCTCCCACAAGAACTCTGTTGCTGGCAAACTTGTATAAGCTGTAAAAAAAGTGTTGCACTTATAATCAAAAGCACTGAAGTGCAAACCCTCGGCGCACTGTGACGCGCGCGCGTAAATAAACGCATGCGCCGTACCACTATTGATGGACTGGGTTTATTACTCGTGGTCTCTCTGCCAGCTCGCGCAGAGTCTGACGCAGGCTAACTACACTACTAGATAGATACGAGAGGCGATACACGCCCTGCGTTGCATCTTCTGGTGCCTCCGAGGTACGCAGAGCACGCGGATCGGTCATGCCGTAGTAAGCCGTTGTATATTTGCATATTGGCTTTTTCCCGCTCTAGCTTAGCAACGGAGCGTTTTCAGAGAGAACCCCACAAATTTTCTGACCTTCGTCGCCCGTTGGGTAGATGGTATCGTTTCTGGGACGAACAGACGTTCGAGAGGTGAGATGTAGAGTAACAGACAGACCCAATGAAAAGCACTAAAGTGCAAACCCTCGGCGAAGTAGCTCGCAGAGAGTCTTACACGGGCTAACTACAGTAGTAGATAGCACGCGAGAGTCGATACTTGTGCCATCAAGATAGACAGAGCAAGCGGACCCGGTCGAGGTAAGCCTGTGCTAAATATAAGCGCATGCGTATTATCCGCCAGCGATAAAATGGCGACTACCGGCATTAGCCGTATATACAATGGTGGAAGCGCTCTAGCTCTGCAACGGAGCTTTTTCAGAGAAAATATTTTCTGACCTTCGTCGCCCGTTGGGTAGATGGTATCGTTTTTGGGACGAACAGACATTCGAGAGGTGAGATGTAGAGTAACAGACACACACACACACAGACAGACAAACCCAACTACAGTTCAAAGGTTCAAAGGTTCAAAGCACTGCAAGCCAAACAAGAATAGGCACGGCATGTTTTACAAAAAATAAAGTTACTTGTAATGTCTAGCATACATGAAAATATCAGAAGTAGCGGACGAAAGAGAGTTGATAATCTGGTCTGGGTCTGAGAGAGGCGTGTGAGAGAGAGTATAGTGATGAAAGTAAGAAACATCCATTGTGGCACCACAGAGATGGCAGATGCCTGGCTGAAACTGTGGCCTGGTCAATTCGCGATAAAGGGCCTGTAGAGAGTCAGTACCACGAGGTCCGTAATCAAGTGCCATGTCCCACAGCTTCATCCAAGATGTATCAGCAGCTATTCCTGATGCAATCGCTGTACTGTTGTGACGGCTGGCCTCGGTGGTGCAGGCCTCCCAGTCTGCCTGTAATACTTCTCGCTTTAATTCTCTTAGAGTTGACTGGGCACTGAGCATGGCATCGGTAGAGCCCTGACAGGAGAGCTTACCCTCCATAGCTCTACATTCCTGCACGAGCCTGAGAGAATCTTGTGGTGAGCTTGAAAATATTTGGCTCCCAATGCTATTTCTGTCATCAGACACCTTTGATAGAAGACTCAGTTTACGAACAAACATTCTTGCTGTTACTGAGGGCCACCTGAGAGCCAAACGAGTAGAAAGTGTAGAGTGATACTTCGACAGTTTCAATATGCGACGACCAATTCCCCCCTGAAATGATTCCAGCTGATGCAGCATCGAATCTGTCAGCATCCAGTTCGCTGCGCATGCGCGCCGAGGGTTAATTATAGAGAAGGTGCAATGGAAGGTTCAAGATAGTATATACGAGGTATATATAGGTGATCGCAGATCCTGTTTAAATTTAAATCGCGCAATATGATTGGTTCGTGAGCGGACTCTAATTCGCGTAGAGTCCGGAATTAGGAGAATTACGTATAATATTATTGAGTCCGCCGGATTCAAAGTTCAAAGTTAATTTTTGCAGGACCCGAGGGGCATATGCATAATAAATACAGAGGAAGGGTGATGACATACAATAAAATAAAGGCTATGAAGTAGCCTGATAGAACAGTGAACATTTACTAAGATTAGAGTTAGCAACTGCAAAGATTGCCTCATGATCCAGCTTGTGAAGACTTGATATAACTTGATATAGTGTGACTTGTTTACAATATCTGGATGTAGGCAGCATAAGTGCTCGAACCAAAGGGAATTTTGATCCAGGCTCTCATTGCAAACTGAGTTGTTGAAGATGGGCCGGCTCAGTTCCCTATGACTCAGTGGAACTCCCAGTTTTGTTATGACTTTTCGATCTGGGAATAAATGGAAAATGCTGGAGACTTATCAAAAACTGGTATACCAGTTCCAGAGGTCGAGTCAGAGTTGATGGCCACCTGTCAGACCCCTTCCTTGTGAAGCAGGGGTCAGTGCTATCTCATACTCTGTTCCTCACGGTCATGGACAAGCTCCTGGAGAATATGACATCTGAAAAATGCGGCCTCTCTGTTTGCAGTACCTTTATTGGTGCCGCCTGACATTGTCAGAACCGGTGTGACAACAAAACAATCCGTCGCAAAACATAACAGCATTATCACCCATTTCACCAACTCATCGTGCCTCAATCTCAACACTCAAAAGCTAGAAGTGCTACAAGTTGGTCCAAAGCCGAATACGTCACAATCTTTGGAAGTCACATGATACCTCTCTCAGAATCTGTCGCAGTGTGGTGGCAATACAATCTATCTGCATCCCGTGCTGTTTCCGAAAACATTTCTAAAGCAAGGAAGGCCAAACACTTCTCCGGAAAAACCGTCAGACTAGCTCTCCAGTGGCCCTCAATGTCAACTAGAGTGCTGATTCACAAACTGAACTTCCTCTGCCATTTATTGTCTATATAACTCCAACACTGCTGAGCTGATCAGCAAATAATATTCGTATCACTGGCATTCCAACATACAACAGTGCCATATGCTGGAATCGTCCCTCGGCACAAGCATTCTTGCAAGGTGCCTAAATCTTTTTCTAGGTCGAAAAGACACAGGTAGGGTTTGCCACCATCACGATAGTGTGTGAATAGTGCCTCTTGGGTAGCAAAGATTGCATCCATGCACTCCTGGAGACGCCCTTTTGGTATGCAGTCTGTAGCATGTGAGGAGATCCAGCATCATGCAGGATTGGAGAAAGTCGCTGCAGTAGGATTGTTTCGAAGATCTTGCACAAGACGGGAGAGATGGTAATTCCTTGGTAGCTGTTTAATAGTAAACGATTTTTCCCCTTGCCTTTTGTAGACTGCGATTACCAACCCGTCCTTCATGCACTGAGGTATATCTTCCAGAGCAAGGATACGATTGAATATCTTCTTGAGCCACAACTTCAGGTGCTCGCCACCATACTTGAAGTGCTCCACCTTCAGGCCATCCAGGCCTCCTGATTTAGTTTCTTCGATGTCGATGTCATCATCAATGACTTGATCTGAGTGGCCGAAATACTTTTCTTCCAGCTGTGGGACATTGGATGCCACAGTGAGTAGGGTTGATGAGGAGGTGTTTGAACTGGCAAGAGAAGAGAAGAATGACATGGAGTGATTTGCTATGTCCTGACCATCTGTGATTCTGTTTCCATCAACATGCAGCATTTTGCATGATGAAGGATGCTTGGATGCCTTGAAACGCCGGCGATCGTTTTTCTTGAATAGTTCGTCACGTTTCTGAATTTCAGCTCGTTCAATCCTGGCCCGGGATCTGGAGACAAACTGGCGGACATGATTCTTTGTTGATCGTTTGGCATCTGCTAGAGGCCCCTTTTGTGGTTTACCAGCATTTTTCCCACGCAAATCTGCTTTGCTTGCAGAGGGATTTTAGCTCAGGGTCCTTAATGAATTTCTTCTTTTTCTTTTGGGATGCAGAGGTTAGATATTCATGTGAGGCCTCTAGCATAGCGCAGCACACATGGTTAATTTCGTCATTGAGTTCCGATGCATGAGTTAAATATTAGTGGAGACACAATTTAGGATACTGCATTTGCATATGGCTGTATGACACCCTGCTCAATGGCAATTTACACCCTGAGGCTGTGGTTGATTTGAAGTGTGAGCTTCGATCGATGTATATTGATGGTTAGGGATATTGGCAAATGGCCCGATAAATTGAGAGGGTGATGATGATGAATTTTGCAGGATTTCAGGTCAGCATCTGCAGGGAGAGTGTGTGCATTTGTAAG